ATTCTAGGAATATATCCTAAGAAGCCTGAAACACCAATCAGAAAGAATATATGCAATCCTATGTTCATAGCAGCACTATTTATATTTGCTGAGATCTGGAAACAGCCCAAGTGTCCATCAATAGATGAGTGGATAAAAAAAGCTGTAGTACATATACACAATGGAACACTATGCAGCTGTAAGAAAGAGAAATCTCTTACCTTTTGAGAGGACATGGAGGAACCTGGAGAGTATTATGCTAAGTGACATAAGCCAGTCAGAGAAAGACAGTATCACATGATCTCACTTATTTGTGGAATATAATGAACAAAATAAGGTGATGAACAAAATAGACCCTGAGACATAGAAGTAGGGTTCAGACTGACAAACTTCAGAGGAGGGGGCAGAAAGGAGGGAAGAGATAAACCAAAGAACTTATGCATATAAACATAGCCAAAGGACACAGACAACAATGCTGGGGGTGGGGGAGGCGGGAACAGGAGGAGGGTGTTAATGGGGGAAAAATCTATGACAAAATAAATTAATTAAATAAAAATGAAAAAAAAATATAAGCCAACTTCCCCCATCCATCAGGGAGCAGAGAGGGTTTGGAGACTGAGTTAAAAACCAATTATGGCTACATAAGAAAGTATCCATAAAATCTCTAAAGTATGGAGTTTAGAGAGCTTCTTGGTTGATGAATACATCCATGGGCTGGAAGGGTGATACATCTCAACTCCATTGGGATAGAAGCCCTGCTCTCAGGCCCCTCCTGAATAAAGAAAAATGTGCCCTGGTCAATTTTGCTCAGTGGTTAGAGCATTGGCCTGCAGACCAGAGAGTCCCGGGGTCGGTTTCTGCTAAGGACACGTACCTCAGTTGCAGTTTGTCCCCAGCCCCAGTTGGGGTTGTGTGGGTGGCAACCACTTGATGTGTCTCTCTCACATCAATGTTTCTCTCTCTCTCTCTTCCTCCCTCTCTCCCTCCCACTCTATCTGAAGATAAATGCAAAAATGTCCTCAGGTGAGGATAAAAAAAAGAAGAAAGAAAAATGTAAGTCAACTGTTAAGATAGACACCACTTAACCTATCAATAAAACAGGGAATTAAGTGAACTGTAGCTGTATTTTCAAGCCCTGGATTTCTTCTTGATGCTAAGTCCTCAAAGCCATACTAATTCTAGTTGAACAAGTAGAAGGAAAAACACATCTGTCTCAAATTAAAACTCCCATAATGCAAGAGGAAATAACACATGACCCTTTATCCTTCCCAAATGTGAGGAATACAGGAGGTTGTCTGAACCTGGCTTCAGAGATCTTGAGAGTGCTAAGAAAAAGCTGCGCTCAGCTCCTCTCTCTATCACTCTGACATCAATCAGCCTCTTGTGCCCACATAACCCTTAGCCTTTTTACTCCTTAAATGATTTCCTTCTATCTAATGCCTGTAGTCCCATGGCCTGATGGTTCAGATAAATCATGTGCCAAATCTTAGCAGCTATATCTTTTCTTTGTGGGAAGGTCAAGTAGTCCCTTAAAAAAAAATCTGAATACAAAAATATTACTAATGCACATATGGGTTTAGAGAGGACTATATGATAAAACTCCTTGGCATACATACAAAAGCATTCCATAATTTGTATCCAACCTCCTTCTTTAGGGTCCTCCCCCATTTCCCCTCTCCTTCCACTAACACATATTCTGTCTTTATTGCCTCCATGTCTTTGCACATGCTGTTCCCTCTGTCCTTTCTCACCTTCTCTGATGGAAAACTCATAACCACTTTTTAGAACATTTCAGATTCTCTGTAAAATGTCTCCCAACAACTCCAGGGAAATTTAGTCACTTCCTCATCTGTGCTTTCATAAACCTTTGTTCATTTCTTTATTATAATACCTATCACATTATACTATAATTATGTGTTAAATTTGAGGGCAGAGATCATGTCTTAAACATACAGTGATTAACACAACCCCTGGCAGACATAGATATATAATGCATTTTTTGAATGAACATTGTCTAAATTTTTTGCTTTATTTTTCTGTGAAACTAGTTTAATACTGCGATTGTCTTCAATATGGTAATTTATTTTTAAACAATTATAATAGGAGGAAGACAGTGAACAAACTAATTACATCACTCCCGGAAGGCTGTCAATTATGTTAAACAAATTATGTTAACAAATTATGTTAAACAAAATCTACAAATTACAATGTTAAACATGGCTTTATAATAACAATGAAAAGTATGTTTATAAAACCGCTTCCATTTCCAGTTCTTTCTCTCAACAAGGTATAAGGGGAAAAAAAGATACAGAAATATCATGTATAGACTGCATCAGAAGAGGTCTTTAAAAACATCAAAACACAAACAACAAGTGTTGGCGAGGGTGTGGAGAAAAGGGGACTCTAATACACTGCTGGTGGGAATGCAGACTGGTACAGCCGCTATGGAAAACAATATGGTGCTACCTCAAAAAATTAAAAATTGAACTCCCATTTGACCCAGTGATCCCACTGCTGGGAATATACCCTAAGAAGCCTGAAACACCAATCAGGAAGAATATATGTACCCCCATGTTCATAGCAGCACTATTTACAATAGCTAAGATCTGGAAACAGCCCAAGTGTCCACCAGTAGACGAATGGATAAAAAAGCTGTGGTACATATACACAATGGAGTACTATGCAGCGGTAAGAAAGAAAGATCTCTTATCCTTTGAGACGACATGGAGGGACCTGGAAAGTATTATCCTAAGTGAAAGAAGCCAAGCAGAAAAAGACAAATACCACATGATCTCACTTATATACGGAATATAATGAACATAACAGTCTGAGGAATACAGTAGACCCAGACAAATGGAAGTAGGGCACAGACTGATATCCCTCAGAAGAGGGGATGGGGGGTTGGGGGGGTGGGAAGAGATAAACCACAGAACTTATATGCATGTATGCATGACCAATGGACATGGACAACTAAGCCGGGGACGGGGCGGAGGTGGGGTGGGGTGGGGGGTGCCAATGGGGTAAAAAGTTAAAATATCTGTAACAAAAAAATAAATAAAAATTCATAAAAAAAAATAAAAAAAAAACACATCAAAACAGCCCTGGCCGGTTTGGCTCAGTGGTTAGAGCGTCGGCTTGCGGTCCAGAGAGACCGGGGTTCGGTTCCCGCTAAGGGCATGTGCCCTGGTTGCGGTTTGTCCCCGGCCCTGGTTGGTCGTATGGGTGGTGGTCGTATGGGTGGCAGCCACTCGATCTCTCTCTCTCTTTCTCTCTCCCTCTCTCTCACTTCCTCTCTCTCTCTCCCACTCTATCTGAACAAAAAATGGAAAAATGTCCTCGGGTGAGGATTAAAGGAAAAAAAAAAAAGATCAAAACAATAGATTTTTATAGTTGAAAGAGACCTGTTGGTTATCTAACTCAATCCTCTGTTATATATGAATCTTTATAATATCCCTAATAAATGTTCACCTAGTCTCTACTTGAACACTCCCAATGATGAAGTAACTCACTTCTTATAAGGTACTTGATTCCTTATTTTAACAATTATAATATCCAAGTTTAGCCCAAATCTGCCTCCTTGTAATCTTTAACCATTGAAGCCAGTCCTTCCTTCTGAGACCACAGAAAATATTCCTTGTTATGGTAACCCTATAAAAATTTAAAATAGCTATATAATCACCCCAAGCCTTTTCTTTTCTTAATTTTTCTTTTCCATTTTCATTCAACTACTCACATGTCATGTTTTCCAACATTTTCAAGAACCTGGTTCATATCCCCCAGACATGTTGCAGTTTGTCTCTAACATTTCTAAAACTGATTCTGAACATGTACTGCAAGTGATATTTGCCTAGTGTAGAGGATTTCCCAGAGCAGAACTAACAAATATCTCTCATTCTGGACTTCATACAGGTACTATTCAAGCTTGGACTGGCTCTTACATGGTATCGAGTCTAACGTTGGCAGTGTTAGCAGAAAAAGGGATAACATGAAGCCTGGATAGGATCAGAGTTAAGAGAACTGATCCAAGTCTGGGACTTCAGTTGGGAGACAAGCTACCTAAATGAATCCAAAATATATCAAGGGCATTCAAAGGGTTTTTATCTGATAGATGGCAACCAGGGTGTAGCCATATTTGAAATCAGATAGGTGGCAGCATTAAGCCTCCATTAGATGTTGGAGCAGGTCCTCAGTCATCAGCTAAGAAACACAAGAATCCAGACCTGGGCAAAGGGGCTGCAAAGAGCTAGGCAGTTTTAAAGTCAAGAAGACTGGAGTTCAAAGAAGGGCTGTGTTTCTAGGGGGAAATTGAGGTAGTATGAATAAAAATGACTCTGAAGTCATAAAAACCTTTGTTGAATTCCATTTTCTTTACTTTCCAAATCTCAGTGTCTTCATGTGAAAATGGGGCTAATAACAGAATTTATTTAAAGGATTGCTGTGAAAATGTAGTGGAATAATCTATAGAGAGAATCTACATATAGTTAGTGTTTGTCAAATGTTTTATTATTATAAATTAAAATGCATTATAAGTTAAATAAAATTTTAAATAATTTCAACTTCGAAGACTTTAAAATTCATTACACACTAAGACCATTTTCTCAAAATATTTTTAACACCTCCTTTAAGAAAAGCACTATATCTATTTTTTTTCAAAGATGACCAGGACTGATGTAGATTAGCTAAAAATGGTTTTTAAAGTAAGAATAACATACCATGATTTGCTATAATCCTCATAATTGTACCAATAATATGGTTATAAAAATATACTTATTTTCAGATTTTACTTTCAAGTAAAATGATTACTTTACCATAAATCATTGAAACCAGTCTTTTTTATAATATAAATTCATTAATCCAGTCAGAATTCAGAATTACAATTTAATATTTGTTAGAAATCTTTGCATACATCTTTTCCCCAGGCCCATACTGTTTTCCTCCAGTTATCCAGTTATCTAAAACTTAAGAGGAATGAGTACCGCCCATTGGCGGTGTCTGTTGCTCTGATCCTAGATGTGATCCAGAGAATTGGGAGTGATGTCATCTGTAACAATAAAACAGCTTCTCTTGGTGAGTGGAAGACCTATATATAAAAGTCACATTTAAGAGTCTACAGTCCAATTCATCAGCTTTCTCAAGTTTACTCAACCTTAAGAGAGGACCAGCTGCTAATACACGTGAAAGATCTTGTCCTAAGACATTGTGTGGTGAGTAATCTTTATTTTCTCTTTTAAATCTCATATAAGATATTTTTTACAATATAGGTATTATTTAATGTGTATCATTTTCTACAAATACCATGCTGTTTGTTCAAGTTAAAATGTTAAAGGAGAGTTTGAGTTATGTCTAATATGTTTAATATAAAATGCCACAACACAAAATAAATTTATGCTACTAAAATACTCTCAAATCATTTATTTTGTGATGAAAGTATTTTGAAGGGCCTTGCTTTTTCTAAATTTATCTGAAATTACACACAAAAAATTATAATTTGGCATGATATGCTTTAATATCATCTTATTCTGAGGAATTTTGAAATGAAAGACTAATGAGAATGAATAGTTCTGATTTAAATAACCAATATAAATTTATTAAATTGAGTTAATATTCCATGTTTTCTGCTGAAAATTCTTATTAAATTGTTTGTTTTATGAGTCATGGAGAGCTTGAGCTGTATATTAGAGCTGAAGAAACAGTTTTACTGCTGAATATTTATTCCTTTTACATAAAGCCTTTCTAATTTTCTATTCTGAAAACGACATGAATTTTAAGGGTATTTTGCACCTGTTTTTCAACTTTTTCATGACATTCTCGTAAGAAGCTCATCTCTAGTAAGAATAGGAAGAAAAGCAGAGATGTCTGAAGCCACTAGGTGAATGTGACAAAGCCAGATTAGACACCAATGCTCCTGTCCTCTAGCTGCAGTACCTTTTTAAAAATAACATAAATCAAAATTGAAGTATTTGCATTTATTGCTCCATCAATAACTTTATATTGCACTGTGAAGCTTTATATTGCACAGTAAAAATACATGTAGTAGATTATGTTTCTTATGCTACTTCTAAATAATTGCCATTTTAAAAATTAATAAATAAATAAAGCCATTTCCCTTTAAAATATAAATGCATAGCCACTCTATGTGTATGTTAAAACAGAGAACATTAAACATTAAGAAAAAGCACTTCTATAATAATAGGCTTTGCAATTACTGAAGTGCAGATTAAGGTAAGACTATTCTATTTTGAGATGAAAAGCTTTATGAGCAAAAGAGGTAAGTACTATAAATTATACTCAAACAAGATTGTTTTTTTTAAAAGCTGAAGATAAAAAGATAGACAAGCATTTTATATAAAGCCAAAGCTCTAAATCCATATAACAAGTAATTAATTAGATGATTTTTAAATACTTTGACACATTTTTTAAATGGTAGAAGTGTGCAATAATTAGGTAAAAAAAAAATCTCTAAATCAGAGCCCGTTAATTTGGTATTTATGGTTATTATTGCAGTTTCTGAAATGAACTTGACTTATAAAAACAGAAATTTGCTAAGTACATAACAGGGTTAATAATTTACCTAATTAAGATAATTAGCCATTTTCAAGCAAATTATAAGCACTTAGTCATAAGCAACATAAAATGTAGGATGAAATTCTAAAATGTAAGCATTTTTATTCCTCATGTGGCTTAAAACTTGCATAAGAACTCTTAAAAAGATCCCTAAACAGTAAAATTCATTTACCTAGAAACTGAAACTAATCTGTCTAATTTCTAAGTCAAATTATGTGTATATATAACATATATTAATATATCTGTAAAATAAAGAGGCTGATTCCAAAGTCTCCCATGAAAATCAATCCAATTAGTTACTGCAACACTCTGTGCACAGTTTTATAGTTATAAATGTAAACTACTGAATTGAATTGTATAGTTTGGAATATTAAAAAATATTTTTAAATACCTGCATTTTGCTTTTCCTTTGTAGTGAAGATGATGTTTGCAAAAGACATGGCTAAAGTAATGATCGTCATGTTTGCAATTTGTTTTTTTGCAAAATCAGATGGGAAACCCATTGAGTAAGTACTGTATAGACTGTTCTGCGTGGCAAGGGCATGGGAATTGGAATTTTATGGTTGGCTTTATGATTAGAAGAGGGGGAGCTAATGGAGTGTCCTCTCTGTTTTTGTTCCCTCCAGGAGGAGATCTGTGAGTGAAATAGAGCTTATGCATAGCCTTGCTAAATATGTAAACACGGTGGAAAGGGTGGAATGGCTGCTGAAGAAACTGGAGGAAGTGCGAAATTTTATTTCTGACAAGAATGGTGGTTCCGAGAGACCCCTAAAAAGGGAAGACAATGGCCTGTTTGAGAAGTATCAAAAAAATCTTGGAGAAGCAGACAAAGCTGATGTGGATGTATTAACCAAAACTAAACCCCAGTGAAAACACCTATCAGAGCACTGCTGCAGACAGCATAGGGTAACAATATTACATGCTGCTAATGTTTTCAAGCTCTATTACCAAGTGCCAATATTTCTAAAATTACCAAACTTTACATATAATCTATTGCTGGTCATGATAGCTATAATTTTAATTGATTATTTTGATTCTATTTTCATTCAAGAGTCTTAATTATATCTATTGTTTATTCTTTTTAAAGTATGTTACTGAATAATTTATAAAAGAATAAAATTGCACTCTTTACCCTGTCTCCCATTTTATAATACAAAATAAAAATTTAATGAGCATGATTCTAAATAAAGTTAAGTATTTTTCACTTGTATAAGAATGTCTTTTAGATTGTAACACCAATATGTTTAAATGGATCATGACTAGGAAAAACAACATAAAATGGATTTATTTCCAGTTTTATTGAGAAATAATGGATATACATCACTATATAAGTTTAACATGATGGTGTGATTTAACATATATTGTGAAATAATTATATGTTGAACATCATCCTTTTAATATCACCTAAGTATCAGGTCCTCAAATCTTATTGTCCTCTTCATTTCAGTAAATATTATAAAATGCTCAGCAAAGAAAAGCAGAAGGTGGTCTGAAACTTGAATGTGAAATACACAAACCTATACACAAACCTATACTGATCATATTTCTAGTCTGAATCCCAAGTTTCAAGGAATAGAATTTTTGCATATTTTAGAATATAAGTTCATTTATTTGTCATTTGACACTTATCTATTTAGTATCCATTACTTGTCATATTCTGTATTAGGCACTGGGTATACACTGGTAAGCAAAATAAACACAGACAATTCCTGTCTTCATGGGACCAAGAGTTTAGTATGAAAGACAGACATTAATTCATTATTAACTTTGATAAGTGCTATAAAAGAAAAGTACAAGTTACTTCAGGACAGTAAAATACACAGCCCCGATCTATTTAGGTCAATGCCGTCCAATAGAACTGTCTATGATGATGGAAATGTTCTATATTCTGTGTGGTCCAATACAATAGCCACATGTGCATTTAATACGTGGCTTGTACCAGCCGGTGTGGTTCAGTGAATTGAGCATCATCTCATGGACTGAGAAGTCCCAGTTTGATTCTGGGTCAGGGCACATGCTCAGGTTGCAGGCTGGATCCCCAGTAGGGAGCAGGCAGAAGGCAGCGAGTTGATGCTTCTCTCTCACATTGATGTTTCTATCTCCGTCTCCCTTCCTTTCTCTCTAAAAAATCAATAAAAACATATTTTTTAAAAATAAAAATAAAATTTGACTTGTGCCTGGCTGGTTTGGCTCAGAAGTTAGAGCATCAACCAACAGACCAAAGGGTCATGGGTTCAATTCCTGGTCAAGGGCATGTGCCTGGGTTGCTGGTTTGACCTCTAACCCTGGTCTGGGAGGAAACCAATCTATGTGTCTCTCACATGTCTGTCTCTCTCTCTCTCTCTCTCTCTCTCTCTCCCTTCTTCCCTTCCTTCCACTCTATCTAAAATCAATGGGAAAATATCCTCAGGTAAGGATTATAAAAAAAATTAAAAAATTAAATAAAATGTGGCTTGTGTCACTGAGAACGAAATAAGATCCCATCTCTGGCCTCAAAGAGTTTGTGCTCTAGTGAGGAAGACAGAGCAGTAAGCTCCGGTTTTCTGGCCCTGCTCATTTTTAATTTTTTGCACATTCTAGTACAAATTCCTTGATTTTAAATGTCACAAATATTTTTTCCCAGTGTATTTACTGGCAATGCTTAATTTTGATGGATGCAGTTACATCAGTTTTACACCTTATTTTAAGGAGTCTTGTTGAAGAAGTCTTTCCCAACCCTAGGACACAAAGTTATCTCTTACATCTGCTTTAGAGTTTTACCTTCACTTTAGGTGCTTATTCTTCTGAAGTCTAACTTTGTATGACAAAATGTGATGTTTGAACTTTATTTTTTTCCCCATATGGACAGTCAGTGTTTCAAATACCATTTATCCAACAATTCTTTATTTGTCCATAGTGTTGTTAAGCACATTTAAAAAATTATATCTTAAGTTCCTATGTAAAGATAGGTTTATTATTTTACATTATTTTTAGACAGTGAAAATATGCTTTATTGTTCTCTTTGAATCAAGTTTTAGCCTATGAAAGGTCAGACTCAGGTGGGGCCCAGAAGTCATACTTCTTTGACTTTCCCTCCATTTCTTTTTTTTTTTCATTAGGTATCTTTTTATTTTATTTTTTATTTTTTAAATCTTTTTTTTTTTTCCCTTTCTTTTTATCCTCACCTGAGGATATTTTTCCATTTTTTGTACAGATAGAGTGGGAGGGAGAGAGAGGAAGGGATAAAGAGAGCGAAACATCGACGTGAAGGGACACATCGAGTGGCTGCCACCCGCACGACCAACCAGGGCCGGGGACAAACTGCAACCGAAGTACGTGCCCTTAGTGGGAACCGAACCCGGATCTCTCCGGACCGCAGGCCGACGCTCTAACCACTGAGCCAAACTGGCCAGGGCTATTTTTTAAATCTTTATTGTTGAATGTAGAATGTATTACAGATGTTCCACATTTTCCCCCCATTGACCCCCTCCTCCCCACTCCTGCCCGGCTCACGCCTTTTCCCACACTATTGTCTGTATCCATTGGTTATGCATATAAGTTCTTTGGTTTATTTCTTCCCACCCCCCAACCCCAACCCCTTTCCCTTTGAGGTTTGTCAGTCTAGCAATGAATTTGTACTCCTTAATCCCTTTTCCTTTTTCACCCATTCCCCCAACCCCCCTCCTATCTGGCAACCAACAAAATGTTCTCTGTATCTATGAGAATGTTTCTGTTCTGCCTGTTCATTTTGTTTGTAGATTCCATTGTTGATAGATATGTATTCATTGCCATTTTGTTTGTTCACATATTTTATCTTTTTCTTCAAAAAGACCCTTCATCATTTCATATAATAACGGTTTGGTGGTGATGAACTCCTTTAACTTTTTCTTGTCTGGGAAAGTCTTTATATGGCCATCGATTCTAAATGACAGCTTTGCAGAATAATCTTGGTTGTAGGTTCTTGGTTTTCATCCCTCTGAATATTTCTTGCCACTCCCTTCTGGCCTGCAAAGTTTCTTTTGAGAAATCAGCTGACAGCCTTATGGGAACTCCCTTGTAGGTAACTAGCTGCCTTTCTCTTGCTGCTTTTAATATTCTCTCTTTGTCTTGAACCTTTTGCATTTTGATGATGATGTGTCTTGGTGTGGGCCTCTTGGGGTTCATCTTGTTTGGGACTCTCTGTGCTTCCTGGACTTGTATGTCTGTTTCCTTCACCAACTTAGGGAAGTTTTCTGCCATTATTGTTTCAAACAGGTTTTCAATTTCTTGTTCTCGCTCTTCTCCTTCCGGCACCCCCAAGATGTGAATGTTGGCACGCTTGAAGTTGTCCCAGAGGCTCCTTACACTCTCCTCATTTTTTTGGATTCCTTTTTCTTTTTGCTGTTCTGATTGGGCATTTTTTTGCTTCCTTATATTCCAAATCAATGGTTTGCTTCTTGGATTTATGTACTCTATTATTGAATCTGTGTAAATTATTCTTTATTTCAGTTAAAGCTTCCTTCGTTTCTAACTGTGCATAGATCATTTCTGGCAGGTCCTTTTTTATGCTCTTGAGGCCCTCATTGAGTTCACTGAGCATCCTTATAAGCAGTATTTTGAACTCAGCATCTGTTAGGTTACTTATCTCCATTTCACTTAGTTCTTTTCTTGGGGTTTTGTTCTGTTCTTTCATTTGAGACCTGTTTCTTTGCCTCCTCATTTTGGCTGCCTCCCTGTGTTTGTTTCTGTGTATTACTTAATGAGCGATATGGGGCTAGCTGAGACCAAATGCTGCTCGTTTGAAAAAATTTAGGAAAAACCTGAAGCAGGATCCAAGACAGGCCAATCCTATGGTTAAGCAAGTGGCAACAGCTTGAGTGGGTCTGAAAGTTGGGTGGGATGGGGCGGGGCCTCAGGGAGTCACCAGGACGGGGCTACCAGTGTGAGCCAGGTTGCTGGAGTCCCAGATATGGCAGCTGTCTGCCACCCCAGGGAAGGGCTCACCAAAGGAACAAAGGCCTCTGACAGCACGTTTGTCCCAGAGAAAGCCCCCTCTCCAGCCCTTGCTCCAGTGCCAAACAGCTCAGTTCTTCCATGTATGTCTCTGGTGCCCCTCGAGCTGCCTCCCCTCCGAGCTTAGAGGGAGAGAGTCCGATAAGTCCGTGCACGGGCCCTTTAAGGAGCTGCCTGGGGCTCCAGCCGCCTCAGCCTCCCTGAGCCTCAGTTCCTGCTGGGTTTTCCAGCCAGAAGTTATGGGGACTTCTATTCCTGGCACTGGAAACCTGAGCGGGGCACCTGGTGTGGGACGGGGACCCCTCAGTCCTCAGGGAGGACCTTCCCAGCCGAGGTATCCTCCTGATTTTTATCCGCCACACGTGGGTGTGGGACCAGCTCGTCTCACCGCCGTCTCGCCACAGCCCCTCGCACCTCCGACCCTCCTACCAGTCGCGATGCAGCTTCTTTAACTCTGTAGTTGTAGGACTTCCACTCAGCCTGATCTCAGGTGGTTCTGAATGATGGTTGTTCTGTGGTTTAGTTGTAACTTGGATGTGGTTGTGGGAGGACGCAATGCCGCGTTTACCTACGCCGCCATCTTGACCGGAAGTCTCCTCCATTTCTTGATTTAATTCTTGGACCCTGTGTCCCTCTGAATTTCTCTGGCCCTGTTATTCTCTTCTTCATGTGGCCCATACACAGGACACCTTTCTTACAAATCCTCAGGGATTGAGTCTTTGAATATCCAAACCAGGCTCTACAGAACTCTATAGAAGTAAGTTCTTGGTTCCATCTTGAAGCAGCAGTTTATGGAGTTGGCAACATGCTAGAAGAAAGAACAACCTGTCCCTAAACTGTGGACCTCTTTGGCTAATTAAACTTTATTCAGAGCAAAGCCTAGCATGTAAAATCAGGTC